GCAACAAGCTTGTTGCTATTTTCATGTTTGTTTGTTCTTGCAAGAACAAAACAAAATCAAAAAAATATTTTTAAATTAGAACAATCTGCAATTGGGTTCATAGAATTAAATACCCATGCAATATTAAATGGGAAGTAAAAACGTTAAAAATAGAACCCAAAAAATTTGTAAGAAAAGTTCAAGATTTGTAAGAAAAGTTCGAGATTGAAATTCAGTTTAACAAATGCGGATCTAAGGACGGGGGTATAAGTTAAAATGATGGTCAATATGTAAAAACGCAATTCTGAACGCCATATTTTTTATACTTACGAAGCATGAAAGAAGTCCAATTAAAGCGAATTTTAAAGAAATTGTTAAAGAGTGAAGCTACCGTTTCCTTGTTATTAAAAATAGTTAATAGTTTGTAATTAAGGCTGAAGATGTAAGTATCAAAAATCTAACAACATTTTTTTAGATTAAATAAAAAAATTAGTATCCAGAGAAGTCGTATTCAATGATGTTTATATATATATATATATATATATATATATATATATATATATATATATATATATATATATATATATATATATATATATATATATATATATATATACATATATATATATATATATATATATATATATATATATATATATATTTATATATATATATACTTATATATAAATATATATATATATAAATACTATTTATAGAGCGGAACCTCAAATCAAGATTTTTTATTTATTTTTTCATATAATTCTTTAGTTTTCTTTCATATATTTCTTAGGATTATTTATTTTATTATTTATTTATTTTTCTTCAATTTTTTAACGTATATGGTTTTACTTATTATATTTTGTTAATCATTTATTTATTTTTTAGTTATTATTTATTCTTAGTGGTATATAAATTTTTTATACAGTTATATATCATTTGTTTTTATTTTCATTTTAGCCATTTATTATATACGCTTTTTTCTACCGTGTATTATTATTAATATTTTTTTAATCTTAAGTGTTTTTTTTGTTGTTGTTTGTTTGTTTTTTTTTTCCATAATTTTTTGTTTTGTACTTTATGTTTGTTGTAACTTGTTTTCTCAGTGTTTTTCTTTTATTTTTTTATTTGATCATAATATTTGCAATATATTTTGATTATTATATTTTTACAACTATGATTATATTAAATTATATTTACTAAATCTCTATAATTGTTTTAGCAGTAGTCGTTTTTATGTCATCGTTAGTTGTTACGTTTTGTCAGTTTATTACTGTTTGTAACTGTAACTTTGTATTTAAAAATGATTGCTGTATGGAAAGTAATACCGATTTAATTAAATTATTATAATTACTTTATTATTATTATTGTTGTTATACAATTAATCATTTTTATTATTGTGCTATTGTTAATTTATTGCTATTTTTATTATTATTATAACCATATGTCTATAATATGTTTTATATCATCGAAGAGTTTTTTACTTTATATTAGTTTTTATAACTAATTGTAAACGACCGTGGAAATTAGATCTTTTTTTCAGAATATATAATTGATTGATTGATTGATTGATTATATATATATATATATATATATATATATATATATATATATATATATATATATATATATATATATATATATATATATATATATATATATATATATATATATATATATATATATATATATATATATATATATATATAAGTTGCCTGTGTTCCTTGGTCAATTACTATTCTAAATAACCACAAATTTTAATATTTGAAGCACATTTAAGGGTTTCTATGATTTGAATATTCTTATATTTTTTGTATTTTTATTTTTATATTTTTTGTATTATTTTTTATATGTTTTTAAGTATTTTGAATTATTTATAACATGTATTCAGTGACTCATTTTTATCTATCCAATTACTATTGTTGGCAGTTATCGTTCCGTTTTCTGCAGTCTACAATTTTCTGTCTGTACATTATGCACTAATGACAAATTGTATTTGCATTATAGTATACACTATATATAATACACTGTTTATACACTATACATTGTTTATACTGTTTGTAACTAATGGGTTTTTTCTTTTCTTTTTTTTTTTTACCAGATTTTTAAACTGAGTAATATGGCTATCACCAGATCTTTTGCTGAAGTATGACTTCTTGGCAAACTTACTGAAACATTGTTCTCTGCAAGACTTCCATCAAAGGAAGATATTCTGAGAACACTTCTTTTCCATCACCAGGAGACGAAACAAAAAGTGAAAACAATGATTCAAAGAACAATTAAAACAGTATTAGCTCTCTGAAAAGAGGGAAAATTACGATTTAAAGGGTTGACAGTGCTAAAAAAAAAGTAAAAAAAATGTATAATGAATACCTTATTCTTAAAATGAACAAAGGCAAAACACTAGATAGTTGCAGAACGAAAACTGATATTTTCAAGGCTGATCTTGCCGAACACTTTGATCTCAACTTAAGATGCTATGAAAAATACTATGAAAAACAAAGAAGATAAAAACTTTCTTACAATGCAACAGGAAGATTTATTAAGCTTCAGCATGGCAGGAGTGGACAAGTCACTAGCAGCAAGAGAAAATTTAAAGTAATGCAAAGAAACTTAAGCTGAAGTTATGCGTCTATGAAGTCAAGCCAAGTTGCGAGAGCACATTATTAATTTTGTCTTTGTCAGTGAAATTAGATTAGAGGGCTAGTCAATCAGGTCCATCGGAACCAGATACTTATCAATATTACACCCCAACTTTTTCCACTTCCAATACAAAAATTAGAAGACAAATAAGTATACTCTAACCGAAGTGCGGCACCATCTTTGGATAGGGCAAAAATTTCCAACCTTTGAGCACCTTTATTTGTTGGAACAGTGGTTCAGACTCTTGCACAACCAGTGGCAGAGTTAGCATTATCATACAGAACTCTCCGTAGGGAAAGATAAAAGAATCGGCAAGCCGTCGCTGAAGCCGACAAAGCATTATTTTTTTTTAGTGATCCTTTACTATTGCACTCGGATGGAAACCTTTTATGTGACATTGTAGGTTGAAAGCATAAGGTAGATCAAATTGCAATCATTGTTACTGACGGTGGAGTGAAAAAACTCTTAGGTGTTCCAATGATTAGCCGCGAAACCGGGGAAGAACAAGCAAATGCTTTGATGAAGGCTTTGGATGACTTGCATTTGAGAACTAAGGTGAGAGAACTTGTTTTTGACACCATTTCATCAAATACTTGGCTAAATATTGGTGCATGCACAATTATTGAGCAGTATTTTGGTGTTAGCCATGTTTGGATTGCATTCGGGCATCATATGTTTGAAATTTTACTTTCCACTGCTTTCAAAACAGCATTTGGAACCACTGGAAGACCGGAAGTACGTCTATTCAAGCGTTTCCGGGCCAAATGGTCAATAATTAAGAAAGCTGTGTTTGTGGTAGTCTGTGACAACCACTTCGATACAAAATGGCTTGTTTGACTCCGAGAAGAAATGCTAAAATACTGTTTTGATTGACAAATACAACTTTCCAAAGACAGTTTCTTCTTTGGTTAGTGGATAAGCAATGGAAAAAATTCCTTAGTGCATCCAAAACTGCTCTAACGATGACGAAGCTGACTACTCCAAAGTAATACAAACACTAATAGAAACAAAATGTTCATCATCTACAAAATAAAACAAACACTAATTGAAACAAAATGAAAATCATCTACATTGTTAAATAATATTTCTAAATGACAAAGTATAATTTTTTAAATCATAGCAACTCTTAAATATCATTTGATTTGCAAAACACAAATTTCCCCAAATTACTTTTGTCATGCAAAACACTGGCAGCCTTGACTTTTTTTAATATAAACTTTTGGTGGTTTTAATGGTTGTGTATTTTTCTCTGTAATGTTTTTGTCGGTGATAAAGAAATAAATTACCCTAAAGAAAATTCGTGGAACTCAAGAGGAAGTTTTTATTTTTTCAAGTTGAGAAAACCAGATTCGTTTTATCAACGTAGTGTGAGAGTTTTTTATTTCTAACACAATTATTTGCTTTATTTTATTCAGCATTTCTATCCGCATATAGTTTCTTGATATCGTTGTTAGTAAATAATTGGAGAAGCTCTAAACAACGAAATAATACGAACGAAGAGATAGACTTTTGATGATATATTTCAGGAGGAAGTAGAAGAGGAAGTAGAAAAGGAAGTACGCTCTTCTTGGATTGGTTGAATAACTATAACTGTTTTTTTTTTTTTACTTTACCTATTTCAGTCCATATTTTAGTCCATATTTTAGTCCGTATTTTAGTCCGTATTTTGTCCATATTTTAGTCCATATTTTAGTTTATATTTCAGTAAATATTTTAGTCAATATTTTAGTTTATATTTGAGTTCATATTTTACTTATATCACAGATATATTTTTAAATTTAAGGCTGTGGGAAAAAATCGTATAATATAGAGTGTACATAGAAGTAGTTAGCAGCCGCGATTTTACGTAGGGGAGGTTAGCACAAGTGGCGCAGTGGTTAAAGTTCTGACTCAGAACCAACAGGTTCGTGGTTTGACGCCGGCTCTCGCCCGATAAGGAACAGTGGTTAGGTAGAAGGCGCAAACTTTTTGGTTAAATTCTCCTCCACGGTGCTCTATGATAAGATTGATAGGTCATTAATTACTAAAAAAAACTAAAAGAATTGACTAAAAGTTTAAATATGTGTGCAAGAGGTGTTTTTATGTTGCTCTTTTACTTATTTATTTATTTTTTTATTATCATTTTTTTAATTTTTTAGACGCTTTTAGGCGCTTTTAGACGCTTTTCTAATTATCATACGTTTATTATTTATGTCAAAATGCTGCGTGAAAACGTTTTATTTTACTCCAGTCCGAAATAAAATGTTTATTTAAAATCGTCTCACTCCGTGCATTTAAAGTAACTTTTTAGGTTTCGGATTTCTTAATACCAAAATACCGGTATTTTATGGACTATTTAAAATAAAAATAATTGATTTATTTATCACGCAACGGGTTTCTTTAATTCTTCCATCTGTGTAAATAGCTTAGCGTTGTTTAAAATTTTTACTCGCGAAGTATTTACATCGAAACAAGATTTTATTGATAAATTAAGAGACGTAATTAAAATGAACATTGTTATCAAACTATTGTTTTGTATGATTATTTTTACAGGTTAGATATAATTGATACAATTTAGTACACATTAATTTTATTACAAATTAACAATAAAATGAAGTTTTTATATTCAACCAATAATTTATCTAACTTTAAGTTTAAAAATGGGTTTTGTTAATGTTTTTTTAATTTAGAAACAATTTTTTATTTCAGAAATCAACGCTGTTAAAAAAAATGATAAGGTAAAGTCTAGATTTAAATAATGTTTTTTTTAAGCTTTTTTATTATTATTAAAGATTATCGTTTCTTTTTTTTTCTTTTTTTTATTATTATTATTATTATTTTTTTTTTTTTGTATTGCTGTTACGTAATATTTTTACTTTTTAAGAAACGTTAGAAAAATTCTTTAAAATAAGGCCGTTTTCCACAAGACAAAATATTCTCGTGAAGCGAATTATTTTCGCTATGACGGAATGCCGTTTTGATTTCCAATTTCTTTTGCGCTACTTTTTTTTCGTTGTCAACAGTAAAAATGGCAGCAATAGGTTTACGCTATATGTTTAACTAAAAGCAATTATTACTTTTAAAAATATTTTCTACTTGAAGCATTGTCGAAATTTCTTTCCATGCTTTAATTTTAACATTTCTGTCTTTTTATGTAAGATGTGATATCATTTTGTAATATAATAATTTAATATAAGGTTTTTTATAAGAAGGTATAAGAAAATAAATGCTAAACTAAGATATGAACATTTCTGTTAAAAAAAAAAAACTGTTACTGCAAGAACGAACAGCAGGTTTAACTCTATGTAGGGTTTTTCACAAAAAGGTTTATTTTCGTGTGGCCACTTGAAAATAAACCTTCTTATGAAGTGTAACTTTTGGAATTGACGGTGTGGAAATTTACATTTGTAAATTCTCAATTTAAGTTTTGCTCCTTGTTTGATGAATTTACTGATGCTTAGAGTGAGTTCATAGAAAATCAATAAGAACGCAAGGTTAAGAATTTTTTTAAAAAACAACGTTCGTTGACATCACGTGATATATTATTCAAAACTTGATTGGTTTTCGCTAATGGCGATTCGCTTTTTTTTTTTGCTGCATCGAAACGGTGTACCCAGCATAATTGCTAGAAATGTTTTATCTGCGCATGCTTGTCGACGCCGCGCGAATATTTCGTCTTGTGGAAAATGGCCTTAAAGTTACTAATACCACTTTCATATTGACAATAAAGCACGTTTTATTTTAAAAGCGTATTATATTGCTATTGCAAAGAACTGTAAAAAACAACAATAAAACATTACTGCAAGATTGTTTTGTCAATATAAAAAGCTTGTGTTAGATAAAACAATTTTGCTATATTGTTTTTTTGCTGTTTTTTACAGTTTGTAACTTTATTTTTTTATTTAATTATTTGAATTTCATGCTATATTTTGCTATACAATTCTTTTATATCCGAAGATACTGTTGGCTTAGTGTAGGAACAGCCACAAGCAGTCATAAAGTAGTGTCCCTTATTGATCATCATTTTTGCGTACTCAAGTACTTACTCAGGTACTGAGTTGGCGGTTGACTGCATTTGAATTTGCATTGCACAACAGTTCGGATTTTAACAATTTGTTTGACGCTCTAACCGACTGAGCTATCAAGCCTAGGGTTGCCAGATGTTCGGCTTTTACAGAGGAAAATACAGTGTCGAACCTGCAAAAATAAATTTATTTACTATGTCCTCCATCGCAAAAGCCGAACATCTGGCAACCCTAATCCAGCCATATTTTAAAAAAATAAAATGAATTTAAAATAAAACGTGTTTATTGTCAGTATGAACTAAAAGTCATATTTTATTTGACCTTAGAGTCTTTCCTCAGAAATGCCAGAAATTACGCGTAATCACCCTAATTAAGCCTTTCGTGCTACACAGCAGCAGTGTAGAATTTCGCCCATGCGCGTAAGAAATACTGCGTTTTATGTGTTTTTTGAACCAAAACTTTTTTAGTAAAGTAAAAATTCTTTTTTGCTTCACTGACAAATATGTTGTTTTTATGAAGAAAAAAAAGTTTTCTCAACTCGTCAATATTGCAACACCCCTAACTTGTCAGCACGCCATCATAGGAAGAAGTCATCATTTTATTGTAAACAAGCTATGTCTGCCTTGTTCAAAAGATAAAATTAAAATAAGTACTCCACTAAATGCACATAACTTAGAAATAAAATGAAAATTTCATTTCTGCATAGTTAATTATAAAATCACAATCTTAAATATCTAAAGGTTTTAAAAATACAACAGCACATCCCAAAATCGATTTTTGTCGATTATAAAAGCAATATTTGTGCATAAAGGACGTATTTTTACTAAAACTAATGCAAAGTTAGTATAGACATGTTGGTCTAATCATTTTTTTGCCATAATCAATATTTATGAAAATATGACTGGTATGCCATCATTGGCGTCTTTCCCCTAATTGATTGATTATAGGCTAATAATTTCAAATTATATTTTAAATCAATAAAGTACTAAGAATACAAAACTTGTTGCAAAATGAGATTATAAATATTTAAAGTTTCAAACACACTAAGTACAAATAATTTAAATATAAGTGCAGCGAGATCCAAAATAAATGTTACGTATGGCATTTAGAGAATAAAAAAACAATAAATAAAATAAGTTACAGCGAATAAAAGCCTTACTTTAATTTAAATGAGTACATCTCTAGTTTAAATGAATGTTTTTAGATTAAAGTTTGAATGTTCTTAGATTAAAATGAATGTTCTTAAATTAAAGTTTGGTTGGTAAAGTATATTGGTTGGTAATATGCGGTAGTGGTGTAGTGGTAGAGCGCTCGCTTCATAAACGAGTGGTTCTGAGTTCGATCCCCACCACGTCCCTGGTAGTACCGCGCTCAACTCGTTTCTCCGCGCAGCGGCCTTGTTCGTCAAGGTTCGTGTTTCGGAGTTATAGAGTTGAGAGAGGGTTATAGTCACAAAATAAGTAGCCTCCTCGTTTGTAGTGACCTTCTCGGCCTTGAGGAGATGAAGTAAAATTAAAAAAAAAAAAAAAAAAAAAAGTGAAGTCCTCGTTTCACAAAAATAACATTCGTCCCGTTTCACGAAAATGACATTCATGAATTTATTACTTATTATATATAATATTTTTATCAATAATAGTAACTATAATTTTAAATGTTTTTTTTTTTAATAAACTAATTCGATTAAATGTAGATATCGAAGCGGATAATTCAAAAACTAAACCGTATTAGGTCATTTGCACAATTTATAGAAGAGTTTGATATCGAGCCACCAAAAAGTAAGCAATAATATTTTTCTTTAAAATGTTTTTAATTGGGTATGCTATTTATTTATTTTTTTGAAAAAAGCCTTATAAAAATTTAGACGAGTACTTTATTATATGAATTTTGAATGAAAATATCATCTTTTGTAATGAACTGGACAATTTTAAGCGCTATGCATATCTTTTTAGATTTTTTATATTAAAGACCTTATAAAAGATGGAAAAGTGAGCTCCCTCCCTCATCCCAAATATATTGTATACATTTTTACTCAACGAAATGACTATTTTTAAATTACTAAAAAAAGACCTAATGAAGATGAAGAAATGAAGAAAATCAAATGTGGTCCAGCATTATTAAAACATAAATAAAAATACTTCTTCATAAAAAACTTAAGTAAATACGGAATACCGAGACTAGTCGCAAAAGTGCAATTTGCAACATTTCCTCTTAAAGCAAAGTTTTTATTTTTTCTTTATTAATTTACTTTATATAACTATAATCATATCTCATCATAATCACAAATCATAATTAAAAGCTTAGAAGCCTAAATAAAGTAAAAATTTCAAAAGTTATAACTTTATTTATAACCTTTTTAATTAAGTCTTTAGATAATATAATGATAGAAACGAGATTATTATTTGTTTAACATCTTTACTTTTAACAAGGCTGCGAACAACCATTATCAGAGTTCAAAGTTAGTGGAAGAGAAAACACAATGAGACGAAAACCACGGAGAAGTTTGCAGCTTGACTTTTAGGTAGTTGTAAGAGGTACACTGATAGGGGCATTCTGATGATGAAAAAGAATGATAAAATAGTTTTAAAGAGTTCAACCGTAATCAGAAGAACCTAAGGGTGATTGTTAAAAAAACTGAACACTGACTAGGATCAGAAACAAGACATAAGTCGAATAAAAAAGGTGAGTGATTTGAATTGTCTGGAAAACGAGTCAGGAAGTTGACTATTTTTGTTAAAGATTGAGAAAGGCAAAAGTAGTAGGCCTTAATATCTGGAGAGTCACTAACACTTGATCCAAGCCATGGGCATTAAAGTCACTAGCAACAACAATATTGACTGAAAGAGGAAGAGCTTGGTCAGTTTGATCATCAAAAAGAGTGAAACATCAAAAAGAGTGAAACATCAAAAAGAGTGTAACATCAAAAAGAGTGAAACATCAAAAAGAGTGTAACATCAAAAAGAGTGAAACATCAAAAAGAGTGTAACATCAAAAAGAGTGAAACGTCAAAAAGAGTGTAACATCAAAAAGAGTGTAACATCAAAAAGAGTGTAACATCAAAAAGAGTGTAACATCAAAAAGAGTGTAACATCAAAAAGAGTGTAACATCAAAAAGAGTGTAACATCAAAAAGAGTGTAACATCAAAAAGAGTGTAACATCAAAAAGAGTGTAACATCAAAAAGAGTGTAACATCAAAAAGAGTGTAACATCAAAAAGAGTGTAACATCAAAAAGAGTGTAACATCAAAAAGAGTGTAACATCAAAAAGAGTGTAACATCAAAAAGAGTGTAACATCAAAAAGAGTGTAACATCAAAAAGAGTGTAACATCAAAAAGAGTGTAACATCAAAAAGAGTGTAACATCAGAAAGAGTGTAACATCAAAAAGAGTGTAACATCAAAAAGAGTGTAACATTAAAAAGAGTGTAACATCAAAAAGAGTGTAACATCAAAAAGAGCGTAACATCAAAAAGAGTGTAACATCAAAAAGAGTGTAACATCAAAAAGAGTGTAACATCAAAAAGAGTGTAACATCAAAAAGAGTGTAACATCAAAAAGAGTGTAACATCAAAAAGAGTGTAACATCAAAAAGAGTGTAACATCAAAAAGAGTGAAACATCAAAAAGAGTGCAACATCAAAAAGAGTGAAACATCAAAAAGAGTGTAACATCAAAAAGAGTGAAGTCTTGAGATCAAGAAGAGCGATATAGAACAAAGAGAAAGGTGATAAAGTGAAGTTTGGCTGAACAAAGCACATAAAAGAACAACCTGTGGATTCAAACCTAGTTTCCCGAAAAATTAGTGAGTTCTTACGAATGTAAATGCCCAGGCAAAGCATGTGAATATTGGAGTCTTTACTAATTAAAGGAAGATAATCGTCAACATTAAGATTAAAATATGAAACAGCTAAACTCAAATTACTCTCAAAGAGCAAGTAGGTCTGTTAAACTTAGAAGAAGATAAGGCTCAACAGAAAAAAATTTACTTCGAGGATCACGATTATTAGTGAATGATAGATTTAAAGAACTTGGTGATGTCAATGGTTTTTTTGTGTTTTATAGTTTTTGATATTTGTTATTTTTTATATTGGTTAAAAAAGGGATCCAAATGTGACCTCGACAATGCACACCAACAGTACGAACAGAAACACCATCCATGCGTAACATGACACTGTTAGTACTCTGATATTTTACAGCTGTTGATGGAATCAGCCTCTCTAAGAGTTACCTCAGAATTCTCAGAACCTGACCACCAGCTAGCCTCAAAACCATAAAAACTGAGTTTTAGTGCTCTACTTTCATTTGGAGATAAAATAAGTTGCCTATTTATAAAAATATAAATACAAGCAAAACCCATGCATTAAATTCATAACTTCAAGAAGCATTCAACATCCTAAACTGAAAACAATTTATTATAAATTTATCTACGCCTGCCTTATAAATGAAGAAGGGGTGGTCAACAGATAGAATCTGTTTACCTCTTAAGACTTTGCCTAGTAGGCCACAAGACAGTAGCCAGATGCATTTAACGCCTGCATAAGATGAGTATTTTTATCGAGAGACCATTTGTAACCTTTACTCAACCAAGATCCCCAAGGCAAGGGGTGCGTTAAGTCAGAGACAACTTTTCCTAGCCTTTGCCTATAAAAGAGTATTCTACAAGGCAGCAGATCATGAAGCAGGTTTTTCTGAGTTATATGTACCAGTTGCAGGATAACCTGACCTGACCATATAAAAATTAAATATACTTTAAAAATAAAACATCTTTTATTGTCAGCATGAATGGGGTATTAAATAGTTTTTTTATAACTAATAAAAGGTTTAAATATTGTATTATCTGCGTTTTTACTTTTACTTTATTAAATATTGCGTTCAGTAAAAACAATTACTTAAGGTAATATTGTAACAGTATGAAATATGTTACTTGCACATTACATTATATTATGTATAATATAATATTATAATATATATACATACAAAATATGTTGCACATTACATTATGCAACTTAACCTATAAGTTTAAAGAATTTTAGAAATTTCTAGTTTCAACTTTTTTTAGTTTCACCTTTTACCAATTAGTTGAAAAGGATAACACTAAAAGTTTACTGCACTGAGTGAAACCAACCTCAGCGACGTCACTGCTGCATTCTAGTACTAAATATTTTTAAAGCAATAAGCTTAACATCGTAGTTGTATAAAAATCCGAAAACTTTGCTGAAGTCTGAAATCCTCGTTACGATTAAGGCATTTCAGAAAAAATCACGGAAACTCGTATATGTTTTTATTGTTATTTTCATAATAATAAAACTGGTAATCTCCAATTTACTCTCATTTAATTCTAATCTATATAAATATTTTGTAAACTAAGAATTGTATACTTTAGTAATGCTATCAAAGAATAAATTGAGTTTGAAACAGAAGTTTTAGTTACTTTGTATATAAACTTTAATTCCTTGAAAATATAAGTTTTAGCAGTTTACTGTTTTTTTTTTAAATAACAATTTATGTATTAGTAAAGATTTCCAAAAATTTACAGGATTGCACTACTTATCATAGAGTCACAGCAGTTGTTTAAGTGCAGTTTATGTATGAAAAAAAACAAAGAAGTTATTCACGGTTTTTTGTCGAGTTCATGTAGTTATTTTTATGATGATAAATTGCTTGTGAGTATTTCAAGTAAAATATTCTCTACAACTCATACTTTATGTCTATTTTGCAAAATAGTTTTTTTTTTTTTTTTTGTTCATTGCTGTTTTTGATAAATATCTGGTTCAAATTGTTAGGTAGTTAGATAATATTACAATTACGTGGTATGTAACAAGTAGTTACTAATATGTTTTTCGTATTATGTTTTGTTTTTCGTTTTATGTTAAGATATCGTATTATGATTTATATTATTTATTTTATTGTGAGTGCACACTCTGTTAGCATCAAAGAATGAGAGTTCATTTTCGAGCTTTACTAGATCATTCTGATTGCAAACTAAATTTTCTCCTACTCTGATAAGAGTTTTTTTTTTAAAGAAATCATCTCATAATTAAAATGTTAAAATTTAGTATGTTTGTGAAAAGTGGTCACACCACGTTTCTGTAAAACTAATCATCTATGAAAAAAAAAAAAATTCATATTTTAGTGTAAGTATTTATATATTTTACGTTATTATGTATGACCGTTAAATCTTTCTTATTAGGTTTTATTTGGGTTTCAAAAGATTTAATTTCAATTTCAAAATAACTGTAATAATTTGTTTCGTATTAAGTGTTTCGTATATTAGGAACTTTTTAGTTTAAAGAACACGTCCTTTATAGCTCACTACTTTTTTATTTACAAAAATCTCTTACATAGAGTAAAACTAATTATTATGTTATTTCTAAATATAACCATCACTCACTCAATTCAACTTAACTCACTCACTTCAAAATGTCAACTGAAAAAAAAAAGCGCTCAAGAAAGATGATATACTAGCCGCATTAACTAGTATGAAAAAAAACAATACTTCACTGAGTTAAGCTGCATTCAAATATGGTGTTCCAGTCTCAACACTCAAAGATCAACAACTGGTACAACAAAGGTACTCTCAAATTAAATAGAAAGAATGATTGTGTCAGCGTTCCAACCACTTGGTGACTGGGGTTATAGTTTAACCAGAAATAAACCCCTTGAATTTGTAACTGGTTACATTAAACACAAAGATAAACTGCACTTATTCAAAAATGTCAAGCCAGGCAAAGACTGGTTTTATGCCTTCATGAAGAGATGGTCAAAATAAATTTCAACAAG